ATAAAGCACATTGACGCGGTCACCTCGAGAGCTACAGCAGCCTTGGGATTCATCAAAAGATTTTGTTACGACATAACCGACGTTCAAACGCTCAAAACACTATACTACGCACTGGTTCAGTCTCATCTTGAGTACTGCAACGTTGTATGGCCACCAACCTATGCCTTACATATCGACAAGATCGAGAGTGTTTTGAGAAAGTTCACACAGTTCGCCCGAAGAGAGTATCGTACAGCAGCCAATGGATACAACATCCCGAATATAACAAGCGACTGGAAGCTCTGAGCATGACTTCGTTGGAACGTAGGAGAGTATGTTGAAGTATGAGTAATTTAGTACGAAACATGTTATTGTGAACAGGCCTTGCACTTTACTCTCTGTGTGACAGCTATGGAACTGTCAAGTGTTCTACTCTCATTCGTTGCACAATAGCCGATTGAAACACATCAACCACATTCATTTTCTCAATAAAGTTTTTCTCATTATTTTGTTGAATCATATTTGTTGCGTATAATTTAATTATATTTCATCGACAATAATTTAGATCTTCAAATCTTCTGAAAGTGAACGCTTCAATTGTGTTCATGTATGACATCGTTAATGGGAACGCAAATTGTCCCAATGTACGCAACGACATAGCAATAGGAGAGAGCGTACGAACGTTACGGCACACTGACTACCTTAAGATCAAAGAAAAGCTCATGGACAAGCAAACCAAAGCTCAAGTGCCACAAATCTGCAAATATGCAAATGAAGTGGCTGATCCATTCAAAAATTCAACCACTCGTGCTAGCTTCATCACATCGAAAATTTAATATAAAATACTGAAAAATTTGCATACAAATATTGTTACATTACTGTGATTTTTTTTACATATTTCTTTTATTATAGCTACATTGACTGTGATATAGCCATCCTTTGAGTTGGTGATTGTTCTGGCCTATTATTTGTATGTAATGGAAACTAGTTTAGTTTAGTCAATGTTCAGGCCAAAATCACTTCAACCATATATACTGAATACCGTATATTGTATAAACACAAAAGATCAGGTTTTTCACGACTCTTGGAGTCATTTTCCTGCAAAACTAACTCGTCATTCAGCCAGCTTTTGGCGGTGTAAATAAATAAATAAATAAATAAAATGGCTCTGAATAGTTCGCGTTCGCGTCCGAGCTTTTTGTTCGCCGGATATCTCAAAAAGTTGACGAAATAATTGAGATCTGTAAAGAGGCAAAAGTTTTGGCATGTTAAGACGAAGCTTCCGATTGATTTTGAGTCCATTCTAACTTTCCAATTTCGTACCATGTGCCTCCGACTGAGGACCTGAAAACCCTTAAAAAATGACACTTTTGTAGCATTTTGCAGGGTTTTGGCAAGCAAACTGATGATTTTTTGCAAAAATAATGGAAGCCTTCGAACAACCGAACACTTACTTGCCCATAAATTTGGTCCAAAATCGAGATTTCTTGAAATTTTTGAAATTCTGTTCGAAAATGACACTTTTATATGGAAAATGGTCAAAATAGTTATTTTTCAAGGTCAAAAGTGCTATGAAAAAAGTTTTTTTTGAAATTTTGCTTAAACATTAAGCGGGAGGTAAACTAAATTGCTGCGGAGCGGAAAAGTTTGGATTACGTAGGGGGAGTATGTGTAAGTTGACCCACCCCGCCGATTTTGTATTTTGACCTACAAATCGTCAATTTGGCTAGTCTCAATCGATTTAGAAACGTCAAAAACCAATATAAAAGTAGTTCCCAAGAGTGAATACGCTTCTTGAACGGCTCGGATCGGCTCATAAAAAAATTTGCAAAAAAAAAAATCATTTTTACAAAAACTAAGTTTTTTCGGACCATCATCAAGAAGACAATTTCAAAGATATCAGCAAAGCGAGTATAAGCTTTCTTTACTAGTTTTTCGTGTATTTTCATAATCCGTAGTCATTTCACAAATATTATTACATGGCGAAATTCTTTCCGTGCATTTTTGTTTTTACAACCAAAACTAATGAATTTCCTGATCAAATTGTAGCTTTTTCGGCTCTCTTTCCAATGGTATATCAAGTGTGCATTTATCTTCATTCCATAAAAAGTTATGACTAAAATGATTAGTGCGAATCAACCTACACATAACTCCCCTATGTAATTAGTTTCATTTTGGAATTTGTTTTCATGACAAAAATTGGGAAAAGAATAACTTTGACATCCTCGTCTAATACCATTGATTTTATATGTAAAATAACAAAAAGAAACGACAAAAGTGACCTCTCGTAGCGGCACAGTTGAAACTATCGAAACAAACACAATTGAACATGTCATTTTCATGTTCAGTGTTGGTTCTGTTGTTTACCGTATAGCCGGAGAGAGATGTCTACAGCTTAGTGGTGTTGAATGACATTCAACACCCATGAATTTTGATATAACAGTTTGACGGATTGGGGCAGCTATCGTGGTTTACGATTGGGATGTATGCGTCCCTATTGGAATATCCTTTACAAACAGTCTTTTTATTTTCGTTGCTGCTTTTCATAAAGTTGGAAATCTATCATGAATCTATTTGATTTTAGAATAAACTTACGGAACTGTATCCATTGTAATTTTTGATACCAATATGTGACGGCAAAGTTGAAGATTTGTTGCCAATTTTCGGATTCGAACGAAATGTATGAATCGCTATATTCAATAAATAAACATAAAAAAATACATAACTTTTGAATTAGATCTCTCAATCTCGTAAACAAAAAATGTCTAGCTTCTATAAACATAGAAGGCTTGCCAATTCGAATCCCTTAATATAACACGCGATAAACTTACCATTGTAACTAGGTGTAGTTCCGAGTGATCTTCCAACTGAACCCCTATAGCTAGTTGCTCTATCGAATGTAGCGTCATCATCAAAAAATGGTTTTTGGTGGTCCAAATGCCTAAAAAACGAAGAACATGGGAACTTTTGATCTATAACGAATATATGGAGGAGAGGTTTGTTAGTTGAGCCGGCTTGTAAGTTGAGCCACCCATGATATTTCATATTTTGAAAGCGAAATATACAAAAATTTGGACAGTCGTCGAGCGAAAATGCTCTTCAGAAATAGCTCATACGAGCATAGTGTACAATATAATCAAATAAAAAACCTTTAACAAAGTCAATTCTCGTGCCGAAATCGAACACAAAACTAGTGATATCAATTTCAAAAAATCATTTCGGAGCGATTTCAATTTTCCTATTTTGCATTCTTCCAACTAAAGCACAAAACGATGTATTTCTTCTTACATCACTTCATAAGTGTTATACATCATTTTAAAAATTTGTTCATTTGTCCTAATTTGAAATGTCCGTTTGTCCCTTTTGGCAATGGGACATCAGGACAAGATGTCCGTTTGTCCTAATTTGAAATTGGACATTTGGACAAATGTCCGTTTGTTCCAAATCAATAAAAGGACGAACGGACGAACAAATTTTGTCCCTTTGCCACCTTTAGGCTGGGCACAGTGGCCATTGAAAGGCAATTTTTTGAATTTTCAAAGGCTGGCCAAGATGGCGGCCAAATCGAAAAGTGGCGGGACAAAAAAGTCTTAGTTTTTGAGATACTTCAATGCCTGAAAGTTTGAAAAAGATCGGGCAAAAACTACGGACGAACGGACAGACAAATCTATTATCTCAGAATAATTGGTGGGGACGGCAAAGAAAATTTTCAAATGGCCATAACTCATGGGCAGATGGTCCGAAAAACATGTTTCGATTCCCAAGTTTGAATGCATTTTCTGGGCCGATGAGCCAGGGGCTTTCTAGCGATACTTCATTCATACCAGATGGCCTTTTAGAAAAAAAGTTTGAAATTGCGTGTATATATAGGCGAGTTTGACTTTTAGCACTAGGGTGCTTTCGTCACTCGCGCCGGCTGTGATGATCTGGTTCTATTTGGCAGCTCTGAACAAGAATTGCAGAACAGTATCAATTGTCATAACAAATGTATTTACAATGTAAATTTTACATAAAAAAAATCACCTCTGAAAAAAATTATTCATACCTTGAAGGTGAAGCACCAATAGGTGATTCATATCTCATGCGATACATCAATTCTTTGGAGGCCGAAGGAGTTCGTGATGCATTTCTAGGGTCGATGTGGTGTTGTTTCCATTTTCTGAACTTGGCATGTTCCTTTAAATCTTTTAGTATAACTGCTCCCATTCCAGACTTGATTTTCTTCAATTCTTCTTCTTCTTTTTTCAGATGGCTATTATCAAAAGTAGAATGAGGTGATTCAATTTAATAAGTAATTTAAAAATGTCATTTAGTAAGGAGAAGGGATAGAATTCAATATTTGAATTCTATACCACGCTGAAGTTTTGATTTATATGTATGTGTATATACCACACCCGCGATCTTAGGAGCATGCTCAATTATTCGAGATTGGTCGTTGTTTTTCGCGGAAACGGCAGCGACAATAACAAGTTCTTCAATGCAAATAACCTTTACTGACACGACAAACTTTATTTCGCTCCACCACCTTTAGAGTGGGACCAAATACCAGAATATCTCTTTTCTGAATGAAGGTTAAACTACTCTATTTTTTCTAAAATTATTCACGTCGATTACGGATACTGGAGTACTTCAAAAGGGATTCGGCAAATAAATGGTTTGGAAGACGACAAATATTGGGGTGGTAACAGATGGCTCCAGCGGTAAGTGCTGGTAAAAAATATCAGCTCCAAAACGTCATACGGTAAGCTTGGGCATCTGTCAACAACACTGCATCGTTAGATTTGTGAATTTTTATCGACATCATATTTTTTTTCAATTGAAAATGTCAACTTTTGAGCCAAATTCGCGTCATTTGCGGGAAGTTTTGCTTTTCTTCTTTAATTCGAAGAAATCTGCAGCTGAGGCCCATCGATTGCTGTCGGATATTTATGGTGAAGCCTCTTTTGGTCAAAGAACGTGTCGTGAGTGGTTTCACCGCTTCAAAAGTGGCGATTTTGACATCGAAGACCGGCATGGTGGTGGAAGAGAGACAATTTTCGAGGACGCCGATTTGGAGGCATTGCTGGATGAAGATCCATGTCAAACGCAAGAAGAGCTCGCGGAATCATTGGGAGTCACGCAACCAGCCATTTCGAAACGATTGAAAGCATTGGGATTCATCCAAAAGCAAGGAAATTGGGTGCCACACGAATTGGAGCCAAGACACGTCGAAAGACGATTTTGCATGTCTGAAATGTTGCTGGAACGGCACAAAAATAAGTCGTTTTTGCATCGTATTGTGACTGGCGATGAAAAGTGGATCTACTACGATAATCCAAAGCGCAAAAAATCGTATGTCAATCGCGGCCAACCAGCCAAATCGACGCCAAAGCGAAATATTCACGTTTCGAAGGTAATGCTCTCTATTTGGTGGGACCAGAAGGGAGTGGTGTACTGGGAGTTGCTTCCAAGTGGTCAAACAATCAACGGACCTCTCTACCGAACACAATTGATACGTTTGAAGCGAGCATTGAAGGAAAAACGGCCAGAATGGGAGACCAGACACGAGTCATTGATTTTCCACCATGACAATGCTCGGCCACATATTGAAGCATCGGTCAAAACCTACTTGGAAAATAGCGGATGGGAAATTTTGCCTCACCCACCTTATAGCCCAGACCTTGCTCCTTCCGACTACCACTTATTTCGATCGATGCAGAACGCCCTTACCGGAATACGCTTCACTTCAGTCGAAGGAATCAAAAATTGGCTTGATTCGTTCCTGGCCTCAAAAGACGAGAAAGTTTTTTGGGACGGAATCCATAAATTGCCTGAATTGTGGGGAAAAGTCATAGCTTCCGATGGACAGTACTTTGAATAAATTATACTGTACACATTTTTCACAATAAAGCCTCAAAAATTGAAAAAAAAACGGCGGAAGCAAAGTTATACACCCAATACAATGATTTCATAATACATGTATTCATATATAGTGTGTATCAGGGGACGAAGATCTTGGCGTCATCATTGACAAAACATTTTCTTCTACACGTTTATGGACGCACACTTCATAGGCAATAACGACGCTTTTATTCATCATTACAGTTTGGCAGTCATCATCATGAAGAGATTGCAGAAATAGATGAATATTCAAATCTTGGCAAATTTGCCGAAATGACTTCGGGTAGGGCGATTTCAATTGTAGATTTTATGTACTTTAATGTACAATCAATTTCCGACCACTACAATAACTGTAGGTGCTTCTACAATTATTTTCGGGCCACTACAATTAATTCTTGGTTATTAAAACACGTTTTATAGCAGTTTATAGCAGTTTTATTCCCATATTAAATATTAAACTCCCCTGGAGCCAAATAAGTTGTTGAAAAAATCAAGGATCAAATGACTGATTTGAATTCTAGGAAGATTCAGTTTGTGGAAATTTCAATTTGTGGCCAAGATTTGAGTATTACCGATTTTGGACCAATTTTCAAGACTCGTCCCGATATCGAACGAACGGGCAGACATATTTGAAAACAGACAATTGATTTGAATTCTACAATTTATCTACAAATTTTTGGAACCATTCTTCATTCGAAAAAAAATTCGATTTGTGGAAAATACGTTTTTTGACCAAGATTTGAGTTGTCCCATTTTATAGCAGTTTTTCGATAGCCGATTGCTCAAAAAAATTGTTCCTACATAAAAAAAGTAAAAACACTACATTAAAGTACATAAAATCTACAATTGAAATCGCCCTACCCGAAGTCATTTCGGCAAATTTGCCAAGATTTGAATATTCGTCTGTTTTTTTTCAGATACTTTTCGGCTTTTTTTAAAACAAAGCTGCAACACTTGAAATTGGTCGTGCCGTGTTTTAAACTTGATGATGACAATTTTTTCACTCTTATGTTTTGTGCATTTTGCATGCCAATAGTCGGAAAAAACGGTGATTTTCTTTTCTAAATTGGTTTAATGAATGAAAAAGTGATTTTGTATAAAATTGGATAAACAATAAATGAAATCTTCATCATAACCGTACGAGAAGATATTAGTATCACCGACAATAGATGACGACACAGAAAACATTCAATTTAGTACATCTGTCAAAAAGCACGAAAAGGTTTCAGGTTCTTTTATGATTTTTGTAAATTTTGTCATTGAATTTTTGTAAAGAAGGTTGGGTCCTATTCGAATGAAAATATTGTTAAAGTATCCGTATGTGTGACATATACTTAAATGTAAAAGTCAGATACTTTTCGTTTCACTTTCAAAAGATGGTGCTACTTCATGAATTTAATGAATGTTTTGTCTTCACACAAAACACAATTTTAATTTTTTTTTATGCACATATTCTGTTTTAGTCTACAGCATGTAATACAGTGATGATTATCGAAAACTATTACAAAATATTACATTATATTTGTTCATTCATTCACGTAATTATGCTGCAAGTACGTGTGACATCATTTGATTTTTGTTCTAAAGACGAGTTTTGTGTTTGTACTAGATAATGAAAACAAATCTGCTTGACATGAACTCAAAAAATGTACCTACCTTAATGTAAGAACTTTTTAATTTGCGTTGAAATACATGAAAATATTACACTAATTCAACGCAACTAATACGTTTCCGTGTCAATTCGAGCTAGAGACGAATACGGAATGAATAACAACGCACGAAGTGCGCACTTTATTTATAATTTTTGACATAAGAGCAGTTACGCTTCGACCGTCATGTGTTGTGGTTTCCATTCTCATTGATTGGTTAAATTTTCAACATTTTACAATTTAAACTAATGTTTTGTTTTGATTGAAAACTATTTGGAAAAATGAAGTACCGAATCGTTGGAAACGTCTTCGAAAAGTGATACTAAAAGTAAAAGGGACATTTTTTGCGCGCATTCAGTGCTCGATGCGCATCCAGATATTTTTTTCTTGTGGCCTAACATTTGTTACTCATTTGACACTCAAAAACAGAATGATGCTCTTGTGAGCTGTGTAGCGGTACATGTCTGCTTTATATATGTTTTGCAGTAAAGCACACTCGACGAAATGGGTGGGGATTACAATATCGAATCGCTTACGTCATTCACTCACTGAAACGCTATATAAGAGCACACAACACTTGTGCAAGCATTTAGTTCGTGTTCGTCAGTCAGCAAAGAAATGCGACAAGGCCCAAAAGAACATTTCACCAATGCCGTCACCAGCTCGTAAAAATCGTTGCTTTTGATTGGGAATTCATAAAAAAATCGGATATTTCCAGTGCCACCACAAGAAGTTATAAAGTATTGAAAAAATCAATCATTTTATTTATGTAACGTACGTGATGTGTCACATTTCTGGAAGCAGCATTTTATTATCATTATGGATTGATTGAGAACAAATACATTTCCACTAATAAAGATTGGTTTTTGAACGAAATTATAAGAATTTATCAATGATTTTTTATTTATTTATTTATTTAACACCGCCAAAAACTGGCTGAATATT